AGTACCCATCATGACATAAACCAAATTTAATTTCATTGAATTTGGTGCCCTATTGTGCCCCTGTATAGTATTGGGTCAGCTGACGCCCCTGTTTCCATGCTGGAGCAACTGCATCCAAGCCAAAGTTCACCAGCAGTGAAGTAAAGGCAAGAACCACTGAACTGGGCTCCAGAGCAGGGTAGACACGTTCTCTGAAGGGACAAATTGCTCTTGTCCTTCTGGAAATCTGATGGACGGATCTGGGAACAGTTCTCATCTGACTGCATTGAACCAAGTGTAAAGTTTGGTGAAGGGAGGATCATGCTGAGCTTTTTTTTTTTTTTTTAGCACCTAGGCTTGGCCCCTTAGTTCCAGTGAAAGATAGTCTGAATGCTTCAGCAGACCAAGACATTTTGAACAACCCCATAAACCCCACTTTGCGGGAACAGTTTGGATCTGGATCCTCCCCCTCCATCAGGACTGTGAACCAGAACACAAAGCAAGGCCCATGAAGACATGGAGTCTGGGGTGGATGAACCTCATCGTCCTCACAGACTCCGCCCTAAACCCGATACAACAGCTGTGGCATGAATTTGAGCAGAGACTGAGTGTCCGACCCTCTGGTCCAAAATCAGTGTGTGACAGTGTGTGAGCTTAAATGTTTTGACACCAAAATCATCAATGGAATCAAATGTATTAACCAGTGGAGGCCTGAATTTTTCAGGATCAGAAACCAAAATATACGTTGGCATGTTAGGTACGTTCAAAGATAAAAAAAATTAATAAAAAGGAATTCAATGTTTTGCGTTTAAAGTGAAATTTTTACTATAAATAAACATACAAATTTAGAAAATTAAAACGTAAAAATATCAGAAAAAAAAGTAGCAAATTAAGAAAAAACAGAAAAATGTATGAGAAAAGAAGCCATTGTGCAAGATTTAAACATGTACATTTGCGGAACAATGAAAGTAAAGTAAAGTGGTTGAAGTAAAAATGAATTATACAATAAAGTTGCATGTTTATAATGTCGTAAATTTACATGAATTAAGTTGTACATTTAGTCGTACAAAGTTTTTTCTCGTAGATCTTTTATAGTTTTGTTCTATATTTTACAATCTCGTAGATTTGCATGCTAAATATGCGCATTTACGTAATCTCATAAATTTGCATGTTTATACCCTCAGAAATTTGGGTGATTTTACGCGTGAATTCAGTATTTATTCTCGTAAATATGTCAGTTTAAACTCAACTATTGAAATGTAATTTATTTTATTTATTCTTTTTTTTTTGGCTTTGAATGGCCGTAATACACTGCTGTAACACATTAATAGCAAGTGCCTTTAAATGTTTATAGAATGAAGGGGGAACTTTTTTTTATAACTTTTTTTGGAACAGTAACAATGACAAACTCAAAAAATACAGTATAATAAAGCACAACATATAGTCAATCATACCTCCTAACACTTTTCCTAATATTTTTTTTTCTTTTCTTTCAAGTTGTGATGTAAACAGATGTTTAGTTTATGCAATACACTTCAGAAAAAGAGAGAAAAAAAATCGAAATCCAAAGATATCTATAATTACATATGCCGAATAACAGAATTATAATGAAATATAAATGAATAAATAAAAATAAATAAAAAAAATACAAAAACACACATACACACACACACACACACACACACACACACACACACACACACACACACAAAGAAAAAAAAGCAAAATAAGCATTATTCTTTCATTTGTATCGAGGAGGGCTAAAATAAATTAGAGAGGTGATATGACAAACTTTTTGCTTTTTGTTTCTGAATTTTGTCCAAGGAAAGATTTAGAAGATGAATCTCCTGTTTAAATACAGACCATATCGGCTTAGCTTTTATGAAGGGGGAACTTTAGGGCTGTTTTTGTTTCCGGTATAAATCTTAATGGAATACATCCGGCGGAAGTGTTACATTCGGCAGAGTTAGCTGTGAGGTTTCATGTGAAACCTTTTGCGCTGTGAGCTAAATATCGCAGCTTTTGTTGTTGTTGGTTCATTTTACCATCTGTGGGACCTATTTCTCCAGGAACCGAACATTAGCTTAAAGGCTTCAGGTATGTTTACTGCAGGACACAGAGAAAATAGGCCGGAGGAAGAAGCAGGATGTGTCCGTGATCTGTTTACACCACAGTTATTGTTAAGTTTGTTACGTTGTGACATATTTATATATGCAGCAGTTAAGGGAGGCAAAATGCAGGCCGGTTTTTTCTGCTCACAGTAAATAATGGACCGGAAGCTTAAAGGAAGCAGCTACCAAGTTAAAGGATCTTTTGTTTTGTGGTGTTTGCTACACATCAGGGCTTTTTTTCTGTCATCATAACATTGGGTGGAATGTTATTGGGTGTGCGGCGTATTACTGTTTCTATGTCTTTGTGAAGGATATATATATATATATATATATATATATATATATATATATATATATATATATATATATATATATATATATATATANCTTTGTTTTTACAATATAATAACATGGTGGCAGATGGATTCATAACCACGTGGACTACTCCTCTTTTTACATTTAGAAGATAAACTATGATCAGTGCACACACATACATGCTAAGTGTTTTGTATTTTTACATAACTGCAATAATTAGATTTATCACGGTTCAGTTTGAATTTTTACCTTTAATTCTTTCTAGATTATTTGCTGGAACATCTGAAATACTTTCGGTGAACTATAATACAATCCATTGTGATTTGTGATCGGTACGTGGTTGAATGAAATCCCTCCAATAACTGTGGGGAGGACAGGATGTTGCTGATGCCCATCCATTCGTGTTAGTCCAGTTCTCACATCCATCAAACTTGTCTGCAGGCCCGTGAGATTTCTGGGCTGGCCTTTAAGCAGAGCATCTTGTGAAAAAGCTCTTCAACTGTTGCGTTTGATACAGGGTGAGGAGTTTAATTGCACCAAGCGCTAAATCCCAAAAGCAGCGGTTTCCTCCAGCATCTTTAAAAGATTCCTCTGCAGGCCACAACGCATCAGTCATCAGAGCGAGGTTTATCACACCTGATCAACCTGCTGCTAAAACGAGCAGAATTTGTGGTACCGCTACACTAGATCTGTGTTTTAAACACCCTGGCAGATTACATTAGCTAATCAGTATGGAGAAAGGCCAGGGAGGCTTTGCTATGAACCAGTAATCATGAATGATTGATGGACACATGTTTTAATATGTTAACTCAAAAACCGTAGATCTGACTCCAAGCCAGCCCAAATTATCTCCACCTGCCCAATTTTTACCCTCAAAATCAAAATGAAAAGCATCCATTTGGGCAACACTGGTGGAGGCTAACTTTTATGACTTTAGACACTCTAAATCTTGTGATCTTTCAACTGATTTCCAAATAAATTGGCTGATGAAAATGAGAACATTCTACGGGTTACATAGGACCACCTGATTGTCTGATTTTATGTTTTAATACATCATTTTGATTTTGCATTGACTTAGCAAACTTCCAGAGCTTCCTCTCAGGCTGCACAACTAAATTCCTCCTATGGGTGCCCAGATAAAAGGAGAGTTTTTATATATATATATATATATATATATATATATATATATATATATATATATATATATATATATATATAAATTATAATAATAAAAATAAATATGACTCAGCCTTTTCCTCCCTGTCCTGTTTTCCCTTTAGTGAAGAATTTGAACCTAGTCAAATACAAAAATGATCAAAATTAGCTGGACTGCACAACTAAATTCCTCCTATGGGTGCCCAGATAAAAGGAGAGTTTATTATATTTTATTATAATAATAATAAAAATAAATATGACTCAGCCTTTTCCTCCCTGTCCTGTTTTCCCTTTAGTGAAGAATATGAACACAGTCAAATACAAAAATACATATTTCAAGGAGTTTTATTTTAATTTCATTTTAATATGTTAACATGAAATGAAATTAGTTTTCTATGCTCCAAAGTAGCCCAATGTCAAAGTGTGAAATAGTAAAAAAAAGTAATAAATAGGTTTAAGTATGAATATTAATTAAACAATATAAAATATACACATTTAAGCAATTATATAAAATAAATAAATATAGGAACCTATAACGTTACAAGGACCATGGTGACTCTTGAATTAAGGTCAAATTTCCACAATGATAATTTATTATTTTTAAAAATTAAAGCAGTGTTTTATTTTGTTTCTGTGCACAACTTTCTGTACATGCTCTGCGCTGTCTTGCTGAATTGAGCTCCATCTTCCAGGAGAAATATAAAACAGTTCAACATCCAACGATGACAAATCAACACTGAATAAATGTTTTTTTTTTTTTAGTCAAATACTTTGCTAATATAACAGTTTCATAATGAATGTTAATTCAACTGCTGGAAACTTACGACAGGTACCGACGAAGTTAAATAAACGTTGGTTCGATGTTCCTTTTCTGTTTGAGTTGCTCGATGGGCTGAAATCTTTACTCATGGAAACTTTTTCTCAGTCATCTACAAACTTAAACTGTTTTCCGCCTCCATTTGTAGCCCGACATGCTCCCATTCCAATTACTGCCTTGAACTACGGACTCACTAACGGTATCTGTAGCCCATGCGTGGCAGTTACCATAGTGCACACACCATTAACACGTACCCCAGTGCGTGTTTATGGTGCACAGCACACATACCCAAACCCTTAAGCTCCTTTTTCCCGGCTTTTCAAATATAAAACACCTTGCAGGTTTGTGAGAGATCTAGATAATCATCCTACAGTCAGTTACGGTGTAATTTTTTTTTTTTTTTTAGAGTTTATATATTGCAAAATATTTAAAAAAAATAAAATACAGAGGACATGACCTTAGTTTTCCTTAATGATAATTGTGGCCCTGTTCAGAGACACATTTTTCAGAGACCATGAATCAGATCAAAGACCAGGCTGCTAGTATGCTAGTTAAAGTTAATTCTATTTTTATGTATCTTTATTAATTTCTTACATCTCTGCACCTTTGGAAAAAATATTGGTGTGTTTATGTTTTTGCCATTCAGTTACATGACTTCCATTCACTTCCATTTAACTTGCTATGTCATTATTTGCTCAGAGGAATTCAGTATTACTGATCATGTTTAGTGTTTGGCATTTCTGGCTACTAATTCATGTCCAGGGATCGCACTCAGCTAGAACTTAGCATTTTTTTATGTATACCGTAAATTCCAGACTATAGAGTGCACCGGATTACAAGCCACTTGCTCTAATTTTAGAAAGAAAATCAATGTTGTGCTTTTATAAGCCGCATCGGATTTTAAGCCGCAGGTTTCCCGCGTTTTATGAGATATTTACAAATAAAGATATTACACGTGAGCATTTTTTTTAACGTTTGATTTAATCCGTATGATAAAACAAACAAATACGGTACATATTATGAATGTTTTTTTTTTTTCAAACTACCTGTAACACATTTAAATATACGTATGTGTCGGTAACACGCAAATATAACAGTACTTTTAATTGAACAACGCACAGAACATTGCAGCCGACCAGGAAAAGTCATTAATCACTTTCTTCTTCCTCCTGCGCACTAAAACCCTCAAAGTCCTCTTCCTCGGTGTCTGAATGGAACAGCTTCAGCGCCATGAAAAAAAACATGCATTAGCCACACTGTATTATAGGCCGCAGTGTTCAAACAGCGGGAAAAAAGTAGCGGCTTATAGTCCGGAATTTACGGTAGTTTGAAGAACTAGCCTGTTGGTCTGCTGTTGTTGCACTGTGGCTGTCTGGGATTTTGTGATTCTTTAGCCATTAAGGGAGGTTGAATTAAAAAGAAGGACTGATGAATACATTTGTCCCCCTCACTTCTAAGATGTTTTATGATTCTATACCCAGGATCATAGAAGTGTTTGTTTTAGTCCTTATAACTGTAGTTCCACAGTCATTGAATTCTGTGACATGCGCAGCAACGTGGTTTAGCGTCGGACTTGGAATGTGCTCTGAAGGACCGGACCAGAATAGAACTCCCAGAATTCTGATCCTACTAGATCTCCCACTGGCCATCAATGTGTTGGGGGAGACTTTTCCCAATGGAATGCATGAATAGTGAAGAACTGAAATGGTTCTAATGTGCCATATAACCACATTGTGAACATGTAAACCTTAAAACAGGTCTAATATATATTTTTAAAGGCTAGATATTTGTGATCTAAATATGTATTTAAAAAAAATCAGTATAATGAACACAGGCTCAAAGTTTGAAATTACGATTTATTTACAGAAATGATTGATTACTCCCAAACATTTCCCTCACAACCCCATTTTACATTTATGACAAACGGCAGCGCAGACGCACCAGGCACTGTTTTCTTTGCCTCGCCAAAGCTGGCTCTTCTGCGTAGAAGGGGTTGGTAACATGTGGCTCTCTGGAGCGCATCTGGTTGGTACGCAACTGTTTTACCAGCTCAAGGATAAAATCTCTGCATGAGAGGGTGACGTTTAAACAGCTCCTGAACAAAACCAATGAGTTTATAGCTGATATGTCCAGGAGATCATAAAGTACAGCTTTTATGGAATACAGACTCATCTGATCCAACACATCCTTGCCAACCTGTGTGTAATTATAGTTGCCCACAGGCTCCGGTTTGGCTTTTGGGCTGTTGAGTTTAATGGCTGAGGTCTGGGCAGTGCTTTCCAAAACCTAAAAGTTTCCCTGTTGTCTGATTGATCACTGATACGTCTAGGTTTTGCCCATGGTTGGTGAACATCTTCAGACGTGGCCAGGAAGAACTGTGGGCTTGCCTCACCATCAGCTTCATATTTAGTCGTCCAGCCTTTAGAATTAATTCCTGAGTTTGAATTTAGGAGCTTCGTTCTCCAAAGGCCAGATTCGTTGGCCAATTATGTCATAGCAATGCACCGAGGCCTGCAGCTGAAAATGCAGCCTTCTTTTTCCTCGTTTTGAAGGACAGGTCCGCTGTATCCTCTGTAGCCTTGGGTATCCCCTAATTCATTGCGACTCCAAGCAAGCCGACTGCTCCGTTCTTAGAGGAAAAAGGGAGATGTCACCAAACAGTGGTGAATATTAGAAGTGCAGTTTAATATAATCCAAGTTGTGAATAGTTCCGTCTGAAATTAATGAACATTTTTGTTTTAAATAGCTATGGAGTCAGATACGTGGCGGGTAATGTTTGGTTTATTTAAATATTTTATTATTAACTAATATTATTTTATCTGTCCCTGTACAAATGGGTTTGGCTAACATTCAAGCTGAGATTCCAATGTCTCTGCAGTCTGGAGACTATAAATATGATATAAGACAACAGTACTGCTGCTGCAGATCTTCAAAAATGTTGTTATTAGCAACCAGAACAGTGGTATCCATTCTTTGCCTGCTTGGAGGACACAGCTGTTGAAATCAAACACACCCAATCTCTGCAATCAATGGTGCTGTTCCTGCCAGACAGACCTCTGCTCCTCTCAGCAGGTATTCTGCTCCACTCCTGAAACTGCTCCAGGTGTCTCTATCTGTGTGTTTTGACCCATTATCCTTTTGAAGACCCATGACCTGTGAATGATAAGAAGCGTTCTGACACTTCAGCACATTTTACTCTACAGTCCCTGATAGGCTGGACATTTCATTGTACCTGCAGAGATTCACACTACCTGTTCCAGATGAAGCAAACAGTCTAGAGCATAACAGAGCCCCTTTTCATGGTGAACATAGAATTGATTTTTCATTAATCCTTTTTTTTGTCTCATGTTCATTTGAAGTTCTCAATGAAACTTTGAAGTGAGGAGTGGAATGGTTAGGCTCAACTGTGACAACAACAAGATTCAAGGTTAAACTAAGGGTACCAGAAATGTTGTTAATGTCACACATGAAACTGTTGCTAAACTTGCTCTGCTGTTCTCATCCCACCAGGCCTTCCACGGCATCATGTCAGTGATTACCTGGGAGGTCGATGCAGATCACGTCCTCATCAGCAAGCAGAAGAGCTCACTTCTTGACCAAGATATTCCAAACTGTGTGCGAATAAAAGAGGAACAGGAAGAACCAGAACCTGAGAGTGAGACAGAAGAACCAGAACCTGAGGTGATCAAAGAAGAACAGATTGAGCAGTGCATCTTTCAGGATGAAGAGCGGCTTATGGTGAAGCAGGAGACCAGCACCTCTATAAAACCTGCTGCTAATGAGGAGACCTTCCACCATGGACCAGAACCGCAGCACATAAAGGAGACAAAGCAGGAACCCGGATCGGTCCAGATTAAAGAGGAACAGCAGTTCTGTGACCTTCAGGATGGAGAACAGCCTTACGTCTTTGAATTTGGTGATTCCATCTCCATGCAGGACAACGACATGAAAAGTCCTGCAGATGAGAAGCCTTTCTCTTGCCTGACGTGTGGGAGAGGTTTTAACAAACAGTACAACTTGACTGTCCACATGAGAACTCATACGGGCGAGAAGCCGTATCCATGTGAGCTGTGTGATAAATCCTTCCGCAGGAGTAATGATTTGGTCCGTCACATCAGAACTCACACGGGTGAGACTCCGTATTCTTGTCAGTTTTGTGGTAAATCCTTTAATGACAACAGTCACTTAACAATTCACCTGAGAACCCACACAGGGGAGAAGCCCTATTCCTGCGAAGTGTGTGGAAAATCTTTGACCGACAGCAGTCATCTGATCAAACACATGAGAACTCACACGGTTGAAAAGCCTTTTCCATGCCTTACCTGTGGGAAAGGATTCACAGCACAGTCGGACCTCACCATCCACATGCGAACCCACACAGGGGAGAAGCCCTTCACCTGTCTGGTCTGTGGTAAAGGTTTCATCCAGAAAACCACCCTTAGTTATCACATGAGAACACACACCGGCGAGAAGCCTTTTCCATGTGAGCTGTGTGACAAATCCTTCATTCAAAGCAGTGATCTGTCTCGTCACCTTCGAACTCACACCGGGGAGAAGCCCTATTCCTGTGAACTCTGCGATAAATCTTTCAGACAGAGTAGTGATCTGGCGCGTCATATTAGAACCCACACAGGCGAGAAGCCGTTCTCCTGTGGAACGTGTGGAAAAGGTTTCACCAAGCAGAACAATTTGACTGTTCACATGAGAATTCATACAGGCGAGAAACCATATTCCTGTGAACACTGTGGTGAATCATTCACAGTCAAGTTTAGTCTGACCAGACACAAATGTAAAAACAATAACCAGGAAGTTTTCCAGCAGTAGAACCGTTCTTTATGACTAGAGGCCAAAATGGCTAATGGTTGAATGTGGACTCTAGGAATTGACTGGAACTGGTTCCAACCTCTTGTTTCTCCTTGAATAGTTCAGATTAAATCACTCTGATTCCTAATTTTGAAGCCCAGTCTGAAAACTAAAAGAACAGAAGAAGAATCGATCCGATTGGCTGGGTAGCCATCTGTTTCTGCAGCGGTATTAAAGCGTGACTTAAAGGTAATAAAATGACCCGTTGGCTATGTACAACACTGTAATATGATTATATCAGGCTAAAGACGGGGACCACCATGATGAAACACTTCAAGCCTTTTTTAACCTGCTGCACTGTTTTTCAGTTCAATTCTGTTTATTTATGTAGCGCCATTCCACAACACGTCATCTAAAGCACTTTGCAGAAACAATTCAACAAGATCATACAGTAAATTTGATTCAAAAGTTTTTTATCTAAGGAAAACCAGCTGATTGCATTGACTCGAAGGCAATCCCTCACACCAAGCAGGCTCATAGTTACAGTGGAGAGGAAAACTGCCTTTTAACAGGAAGAAACCTCCAGCAGAATTAGGCTCAATGGGGAGGGGCTATCTGCTGAGGCTGCCTAGTCAGAAGCGGAGATGGATTGCCTTTGAGTCAATGAGTCGATGCAATCAACTGGTTTTCCTTAGATAAAAAAAACTTCTGTCTTGAGATGATGTGTTGTTAATGTGTGCAATATAAACTGAATTGAATTGAACTGATTACTAAAAGATCTGCCTCCCATTATACTTTTAGCAATTCTAGGAACCACTAATTAACCTGCAGATCGAGAACAGAGTGCTCTGTTAGGAAAATAAGGGACAATCAGATCTCTGATATCAGATGGAGATTGATTATTTAGGGCTTTATGTGATAAGAAGAATTTTGAATTCTTTTCTGGATTTAATAGGAAGCCCATGAAGAAAAGCTCAGATAGGAGAAATTAAATCTCTCTTCATAATTTTCACTACAAATCTGTTTCCAGCATTTTGGATCAGCTGAAAACTTTTAACTACAGTTTGTGGATTTTCTCATAGTAAAGAATACCAATAGTCCAGGCTTGAATTAACAAATGCAATGACTTGTTTTTCAACATCGACCCTGGATAGAATATTTATAATTTTTACAACATTCAGCAGATCTAAAGAAAATTTTAGAAACCTCTTTGATATGGGATTTAACTGACAGGTCCTGATCAAAAATCTAAAGTTTATAAAAAGTTAAATTTGTATAGATTTGGAAATCATCTAGAAGTTTAGACTGTTTAATGAAAAAAAAACTCTGCTTATCCAACTTAACCAGAAATGAAATGAGGATTCGGAGCTGTTCATATTCAGCTGCTGAATAAATTATTAAAGATTTCTGTTGCGCAGCCTACTGGATGGAAACTGATTAACTGTCTGTTCAGCTTTCCTTACTGTGTTTTTCGCCATCTCCTCTGTTTATCCAAACTATAGTGTATCGAGTTATAACTTTATGAAAAATGTAACGGATGTTTCTAATTAACTAATTTTAGTTTCCTGTTTCCAGAGGATTCTTTCCAAATCTCAAGTTGGTGATTTTATCTATGTGATCACATTGTTTATCGTTGTCATGGGTCAATATCAAAAACTCCACAAACAGGGCGGAATTATCAGAATCTTTATGAACTCTGTTGTTTTTGTCCTTTTTTCATTGTTTTGATAAATCTGAGGAACATGAATAAATGTGGTTCCTACAGGATGTTCATTGAAATAAACAATACTTCTTTATGTTACTGCTGTCCTGAATATGCTGAATCTAAATGTGTATATTCTTCCAGAGCATCTGTGATTGCTGTGGTAAGTAGTCACCGTTAAACCGTTACCTAAAACACACTGGTAACTTATATCAGTATCACCCAGTATCGTACTAGTTAAAAACAAAGTCTGTTTGAGTACAGTAAAAAAAAAAGAAAGCTGAACTTATTATTTTATTTCTGCTGAGAGCAAAACTACCTTCTCCTTAGCAAAGAACCTGGAGGCAGGATTTATTTACTCTCTGACTTCTAGACTGTTTTGTGAAACATGCTGCTGGCTAAGTGAGACTCTATTCAGGGTCAAAGTGGGGTTCATGTTAAGTCTAAACCCAGCAAACAAAGCTTGCAGCTTTATGTGTTTTATATTTCTAAATGTGTTGTGTACTTATATGAAGGTAGATTTGTTTCTTTATTATTCAATCAATAAAAGGTTGCTTCAATCAAAAAATATATTTTCGATTAAAAAAAATCTTCACTTCAATGAAAGAAAGTATTTGAATGCAAAAATATATTTGAGAGTCAAAAAAATGCATTTGAACTCTGCTTTTCTTTGATTGAAAATGTTTTATTTGATAGAACTCCAGTCTTTTTTGTTTAAAGCAACTTTTTTAATTGAAGTAACATTGTTTTTTGATTGGACCATATAATGGGTAGGACATTAGTGTCTTTATTATTCAATCAAAAAAGAAGTTGCTTCAAACATACAAACAACAGAATCAATAAAAAAAAGTTACTTCGGTGAAAAGATAAATGTTTTCAATCATAGAAAATAGTTTTTGAATGCAAATAAAATATTTGAGACTCAAAAAACTGCATTTGAACACTTTTTTTTTATTGTTGAAAATGTTCTCTTTGGTTGAAGGGATCTATTTTGTGTTTGGGCCACACATGGGGGTAGGACATGTGTCTTAATCATTCAGCGGTGGGGGGGAGATGTTCATGTTGCTGCGGTCTGACCGCTAGATGTCGCTAAAAGTTACACACTGTAGCTTTGTAGCACTGTAGAGTTAATTTCCAAGTTTGATATAAACATGTATAAAAGAACATTCAGCAGTATGAGAAATATTTTGTTTTCCAATTCAGTTAATTCACTCAGTAATTTCTATGCTTCACATCTTGTCATCTAAGGTCACTTTATAGATCCACAACATCATTTCATCTAGTCAGATTAGAGGGTCAAAGTTTTTATCGAAAGAGAACCAGCTGATTGCATCCAATCACTGACTTTGCAGGATTCTCTCCTCCTGGATGAGCAGGTAGAAACAGTAGATTTTTACTCTTCAGCAATCCCTGAAACCAAGCATGCTTGTAGTGACAGTGGAGAGGAAAACTCCTTTAACTAACCCTAAATCTTTAACAGGAAGAAACCTCCAGCAGACCCAAGCTCAGTGTGAGCGACTATCTGCCATCTCCATTTGGCCAACCAACAGAAAAGAAATGTTGAAAACTGAAGACGGCTCCGCCGCTATCTTGCTCTTATTAATCTGTTTACGGTATATGGACTAATTTGTTATGATGCGGTGTTAGCCTCATGGCTAGCATACTATTCCCTTGTTTCTCTTGAAAAAATAATAACCTCTTTATTAGTATTATTTTTTCCACACATAGTACAGCCTTTGGGTCAATAACATGTAACACGAGGAGAAAGAAAGCCAACAATGACACACACAAAAGGAATACAAACCACCGCACACCTAAAGCTAACCTGCTAAAGTAAAATCAAAAATTCCTTTGGGTCCCGCACCCCATTGCTTTTAACCCTTTATAGGGCAAGTTAGTTTTTAATCACTTGCATCCTCATTACAAATGGAGTCCCCCCGTCCCTCAGTGAGGTCTAGAAGCACAAGATCTATATCCAGCCATTCATCAAAGATACTGCTACATTCCTGTACATCTTATTTTGGCATTTGACCAATTAGATGAGCCATTGATATATTGCCTACTGTAAATTAAGTTGGGGAAAAAAAGTTAAGTTGAGAAAAAAGGTAAAAAGCTAATAAGCCTAGTTAACAATTATATTCAGGTTTATAAACCTTAATTGATGCCTCTAAGGTGAAAAAAATGTGTTTCTTTCACTCTCATAGTGTTTTCATGAATTTCTTATAGAAGCTCTTTTGTTATTTTTCTTAATATATTCAGCAAGTTTGCGTTTTTTGTTACTACATTGACATAAATTTCTGCCATCAAAATATCCATATTTTTTTAATGTTACAAAGGTAATAAGGTCTTTTCCTGGATTCAAATAACCAGAGGCATAGCCATAACATTTTTATAAGGGTGGCCAGGCAATGTATACTGAGGGGTGGCCGAAAGCGCATAGGCACCAGAACCTCATGGTCAATCTACATTGTTCCAACAGAAAAATTAACGAGCAAAACATCCATATTTTCTAAATAAAGACAAACTATATTTTCCTACAACCTTTGCCTACAAATAGAAGCATATATTTAAACATCTGTGATTTCTAGATAAAAGGTATAGTGAATAAAATTCTTTCAGTTTTGGGTTCTGGGGCAAACATCTCTTCCTTTGTCATTATTTACCTACTTTTATCAACATTTATTCTGCATAAGATTGATATTAACAAGTACTAATTTTTACATAAACTAATTATTAAATTTTTTAATAAAATAATTATTTTTCTATGACTTCACTGAAGACTCCTAGTTGACTTGCAGAGACACATTATTTTCTCTTTACCCCCTATAACACAAAATCTAGTTCTGAAAAGAGCATTTAATGTGCATAATTAACCACAGTCTTATTGTTGTTAAGTAATTGTTAATATATGAAAATTGAAAATGTTTTTAATATTCCACTTGGGAGTTTTACATATGTCTGTATTAGATGGGGAAAAAATTGGTAGGGGTGGCCAATGATTGGCTAAGGGTGGCCATGCCCCCCCGGCCCCCCATCTAGCTCCGCCCCTGCAAATAATACTATTGGCTTGAAATTTTGATTTTCGAAGTATTTCACTGAGTGCCTTATAAAGGGTTAAGGAATATTATTCTCCTTGCGCTTTGGCTGCCACAGACGTATGACTACTTTTAAAAAGAAAACTGATGTATTCTTATTATGCATATTTTGCTATGCTTATGAACATGTTTTAAAGGTTCTTTTTGTTGCCTATTCTGTCCCAGAGTCGCCATCCACTAACGTACTGTAGGTTGGACAGGAATGTACCATGCGCTAGTGGTTTGAAATGGAGTTGGAACTCATCCAGGACTTCAGACTAAATAGGAAGGCCATGCATGTCCCGCAATGCCTGCTGAAGAGGGAACAGGACCATGGCTTGGGCTATCAGTTTGAACTTCTGATATACATCCATTATCTGATACGCTTGTCCCAATTGGGGTCGCGAGGGGTGCCGGTCTAACAGCCATTCATTCATGCACACACTCACACCTAAGGAGAATCTAGAGAAGCCAATTAACCTAACAGTCATGTTTTTGGACTGTGGGAGGAAGCCGGAGTACCCGGAGAGAACCCAGACATGCTCAGGGAGAACATAT